GGCAGCTACTGGCAGCTACTGGCAGCTACTGGCAGCTACTGGCAGCTACTGGCAGCTACTGGCAGCTACTGGCAGCTACTGGCAGCTACTGGCAGCTACTGGCAGCTACTGGCAGGTACTGGCAGATACTGGCAGATACTGGCAGATACTGGCAGATACTGGCAGATACTGGCAGATACTGGCAGATACTGGCAGATACTGGCAGATACTGGCAGATACTGGCAGATACTGGCAGATACTGGCAGCTACTGGCAGGTACTGGCAGGTACTGGCAGGTACTGGCAGATACTGGCAGATACTTGCAGATACTGGCAGAACTGGCAGATACTGGCAGATTACTGGCCTGATACGGCAGCTGTATGGCTGATACTGGCGATACTGGCTGATACTGGCTGATACTGGCAGATACTGGCAGATACTGGCAGATACTGGCAGATACTGGCTGATACTGGCTGATACTGGCAGATACTTGCAGATACTGGCAGATACTGGCAGATACTGGCTGATACTGGCTGATACTGGCTGATACTGGCTGATACTGGCAGATACTGGCAGATACTGGCAGATACTGGCAGATACTGGCAGATACTGGCAGATACTGGCAGATACTGGCAGGTACTGGCAGGTACTGGCAGGTACTGGCAGGTACTGGCAGATACTGGCAGATACTGGCAGATACTGGCAGATACTGGCAGATACTGGCAGATACTGGCAGATACTGGCAGATACTGGCAGATACTGGCTGATACTGGCTGATACTGGCAGATACTGGCAGATACTGGCAGATACTGGCAGATACTGGCAGATACTGGCAGATACTGGCTGATACTGGCAGATACTGGCAGATACTGGCTGATACTGGCAGATACTGGCAGATACTGGCAGATACTGGCAGATACTGGCAGATACTGGCAGATACTGGCAGATACTGGCAGATACTGGCTGATACTGGCAGATACTGGCAGATACTGGCAGATACTGGCAGATACTGGCAGATACTGGCAGATACTGGCAGATACTGGCAGATACTGGCAGATACTGGCTGATACTGGCAGATACTGGCAGATACTGGCAGATACTGGCAGATACTGGCAGATACTGGTTGATACTGGCTGATACTGGCAGATACTGGCAGATACTGGCAGATACTGGCAGATACTGGCAGATACTGGCAGATACTGGCAGATACTGGCAGATACTGGCCGATACTCGCAGATACTGGCCGATACTCGCAGATACTGGCCGATACTGGCAAATACTGGCTGATACTGGCAGATACTGCCAGATACTGGCAGATACTGCCAGATACTGGCAGATACTGGCAGGTACTGGCAGATACTGGCAGATACTGGCAGATACTGGCAGATACTGGCAGATACTGGCTGATACTGGCAGATAACGGCAGATACTGGCAGATTACTGGCACGATACTTTGCAGATACTGGCAGATACTGGGCAGATCTGGCAGATTTACTGGCAGATACTAGGCAGATATGGCAGATACTGGCAGATACTGGCAGATACTGGCAGATACTGGCAGATACTGGCAGATACTGGCTGATACTGGCAGATACTGGCTGATACTGGCAGATACTGGCAGATACTGGCAGATACTGGCAGATACTGGCAGATACTGGCAGATACTGGAAGATACTGGCAGATACTGGCAGATACTGGCAGATACTGGAAGATACTGGAAGATACTGGAAGATACTGGCAGATACTGGCAGATACTGGCAGATACTGGCAGATACTGGCAGATACTGGCAGATACTGGCAGATACTGGCAGATACTGGCAGATACTGGCAGATACTGGCAGATACTGGCAGATACTGGCAGATACTGGCAGATACTGGCTGATACTGGCTGATACTGACAGATACTGGCAGATACTGGCTGATACTGGCTGATACTGGCAGATACTGGCAGATACTGGTAGGTACTGGCAGATACTGGCAGATACTGGCAGGATTACTCGGAAGATACTGGCAGATACTGGCAGATTTACTGGCAGATAAGATTTTACTGGAAGATACTGGAAGATAACTGGAAGGATAACTGGCAGATACTGGCAGATACTGGCAGATACTGGCAGATACTGGCAGATACTGGCAGATACTGGCTGATACTGGCTGATACTGGCTGATACTGGCTGATACTGGCAGATACTGGCAGATACTGGCAGATACTGGCAGATACTGGCAGATACTGGCAGATACTGGCAGATACTGGCTGATACTGGCTGATACTGGCAGATACTGGCAGATACTGGCAGATACTGGCAGATACTGGCAGATACTGGCAGATACTGGCTGATACTGGCAGATACTGGCAGATACTGGCAGATACTGGCAGATACTGGCAGATACTGGCAGATACTGGCAGATACTGGCAGATACTGGCTGATACTGGCTGATACTGGCTGATACTGGCAGATACTGGCAGATACTGGCAGATACTGGCAGATACTGGCAGATACTGGCAGATACTGGCAGATACTGGCAGATACTTGCTGATACTGGCAGATACTGGCAGATACTGGCAGATACTGGCAGATACTGGCAGATACTGGCAGATACTGGCAGATACTGGCTGATACTGGCAGATACTGGCTGATACTGGCAGATACTGGCAGATACTGGCAGATACTGGCAGATACTGGCAGATACTGGCAGATACTGGCAGATACTGGCTGATACTGGCAGATACTGGCAGATACTGGCTGATACTGGCAGATACTGGCAGATACTGGCAGATACTGGCAGATACTGGCAGATACTGGCAGATACTGGCAGATACTGGCAGATACTGGCAGATACTGGCAGATACTGGCAGATACTGGCAGATACTGGCAGATACTGGCAGATACTGGAAGATACTGGAAGATACTGGCAGATACTGGAAGATACTGGAAGACAATGGAAGACACTGGCAGATACTGGAAGATACTGGAAGATACTGGAAGATACTGGAAGATACTGGAAGATACTGGAAGATACTGGAAGATACTGGAAGATACTGGAAGATACTGGAAGATACTGGGATACTGGAAGATACTGGCAGATACTGGAAGATACTGGAAGATACTGGCAGATACTGGAAGATACTGGAAGATACTGGAAGATACTGGAAGATACTGGCAGATACTGGGATACTGGAAGATACTGGAAGATACTGGGATACTGGCAGATACTGGCAGATACTGGCAGATACTGGCAGATACTGGCAGATACTGGCAGATACTGGCAGATACTGGCAGATACTTGCAGATACTGGCAGATACTGGCAGATACTGGCTGATACTGGAAGATACTGGCAGATACTGGCAGATACTGGAAGATACTGGCAGATACTGGCAGATACTGGAAGATACTGGAAGATACTGGAAGATACTGGCAGATACTGGAAGATACTGGAAGATACTGGCAGATACTGGAAGATACTGGAAGATACTGGAAGATACTGGAAGATACTGGAAGATACTGGAAGATACTGGAAGATACTGGAAGATACTGGAAGATACTGGATACTGGCAGATACTGGAAGATATACTGGAAGATACTGGAAGATACTGGAAGATACTGGAAGATACTGGAAGATACTGGAAGATACTGGAAGATACTGGCAGATACTGGCAGATACTGGAAGATACTGGAAGATACTGGAAGATACTGGAAGATACTGGAAGATACTGGAAGATACTGGATAAGATACTGGATACTGGAAGATACTGGCAGATACTGGAAGATACTGGAAGATACTGGAAGATACTGGAAGATAAGATACTGGAAGATACTGGAAGATACTGGAAGATACTGGAAGATACTGGAAGATACAGATACTGCAGATACTGGAAGATACTGGAAGATACTGGAAGATACTGGCAGATACTGGAAGATACTGGAAGATACTGGAAGATACTGGAAGATACTGGAAGATACTGGAAGATACTGGAAGATACTGGAAGATACTAAGATACTGCAGATACTGGAAGATACTGGAAGATACTGGAAGATACTGGAAGATACTGGAAGATACTGGAAGATACTGGAAGATACTGGAAGATACTGGAAGATACTGGAAGATACTGGCAGATACTGGCAGATACTGGAAGATACTGGAAGATACTGGCAGATACTGGAAGATACTGGAAGATACTGGAAGATACTGGAAGATACTGGAAGATACTGGCTGATACTGGCAGATACTGGCAGATAGTGGCAGATACTGGCAGATCCTGGCAGGAGTGGAAGAAATCAAAATTCTGAATCAATGAAACTCAACCAGGTCGCTCAAACGGGCCATTTGTTGGTCGTTGTTGCATCACTGATCGCACCACTTGGAGAGGATACGTGGCCTTTGTATTTCATCTGCCAAACCAATTGAAACGGATGAGATCTGCCAAAGGTTTCGCAGGAAAATGCGAGAAAAAAACACAAGAAACCCTCTGTAAGCACAAAAAGCTCTCAGTTTCGACAGTTGCAAAGACAGATAAAGACAGGATTGTCACGCATTGTCTGGCTTCGTTCCGTGCTTGATTTGAAGAAATTCAAAAGGACGCCTTTCCAGTCTGAATCCTTACCCTTTTTGGCATCCAAGAACGTAGTGACGTGGTTCCTTCATGTATGAGTCTTGCTGTCTGATCCATTCTGATTGGTTCCAAGCATCCACCGACGCGAAGATCTTTGCACAACAGGATGCCGCAAGCACTGAATCGAAGCGTGTCTTGAAACGGTCCTGAGAATCTACCAAAACTGGTGTAAGAATATGTAAGAGTGATTCAAGACAGTACTATTCTTGTACATACAGTACAGTATGCAAGCTCATTGAAAACATTTGAAAACTATTCATCTATCTTCATCTGTCTTCCGTGGATTTCTTCGAGGCTCATATGCTACCAGAAGGATGGCCCCATGTGAGCACAGCATCAGCGATGGCATGAAGCCCCGATAGAAACCTGCTCACCGACCAAAAATCACGTGCAAAAATGAAAAAAAAGAAAATCATCATCTCGACAAACATTACTGGCTTCTGTAAAGGACACTGGATTCTCAGCGCTTGATAGCTTTTTGTGAATCAGTGTCCTTTCGGATGTGTTTATCTACCAGTGAGGCCAGGGCTATGAATATATCCTCTTCACTGAAATTGACAGGATCCAAGCTTTATTTTGAAAGCCATTCCCACCAGTCTATGTGGGCAGTTGTGTGCAAATGCATGCGATCTAATATGAAATGTACTTGGTATCTGTGGTCCAAGACGTTATTTTAACGCAAGGCTTGAAAGGTTCAGGAAGCCGCTGAAGCCCTGGAATTCACGCTCTGAACTCGCTCAAAGCAGATCCGACCCGGCACCTGGCAGGCCTTCTTCAGATGCGATGGTCGTAACCTCAGGCGATGCAGTGCCAGAGTGCACCGCTTTCTCAAAACAAAGGGCACTGAAACAGCACAGAACAGCACATAACAACACCAACGCCCAGCTCTCATGCTGGCATCACCTTGGGTTGTGGCAGCATGGAAGATTCCCTGGTAGACCTTTCCTTGTCCACGTTGCAATTGAAAACCTCGTGTGCAAAATGTGCGAGAAGCCCCGGTGTCAGGCCGTGTCGAAAATCTGCCGCTGAGCCAAGCAGCGTGTCTTGATCAAGAAGATCGGATGTACCACCTGCGGCTTTCAACGTAACATTGACCACCAGGGACCCACTCAGCACCAATCTTCCACAACCTCTATCAACCATTATCAACCTCTCATTTCTTGTTATTTGGTGTGTTTCTGTGCAAGTGCAGTGACTTACATTGTGACTCTGGGGTGTGCGGCAGCATCAACGAAGGCTAGATTGCAGTGCTCCATGCTCCGCAAAATCCCAATTCGCTCAATTTGATTTGATTCGATTTGACTTAATCTAATTTAACTTGACTCCTTTGACTCGGAATTTTCGCCAAGATGTGCCAAGCCACCATGTTTGTTACCATTCCAGCTGCTAAAGAGCACGCACTATCTTTGGCCGTTTGGGCACTGGTCTCCTGTACCCCAAAAAGGGCTTAGGGAAAGCAGGGACAGCAGAACCCTGGCACGAAGGAAACATAGAATTGAACAACGGCAATGATCCAATCCACAGGAAACTTGAATTTTTGAAGAGCTGAGATGTTGCGAAGACACGGCTTTGAGGGCCACGCTGAATCATTGGCAAAAATGCTCGAAACTCTCAACACTGGTCACTGGCCTCTCCATATGCCATCGTTTTGAACAGCTGGTAGAGCGGCATCTGAACGCCCCATGCAATCGTGGAGCCAGCCACATTTGGCAAGACACCTGGGGAGAATGTCATCAGCTTTGCCGAGCCCCACCAAAACTCTTGATGTGTCCCAACTCATTCACAATTACCTAATCATCCTGGATCACAAGTGTAAATCGATCAACAACAAATCACACGTCGCGAAAATGTTCTTGGAAGCCCAACCCCTGAAGAATCCGCGAAGACCTTCCGACTGCCATGTTGAGGAGACTGCTTGTCGCAGTGATCCGTAGGCATGCACAGACCCAACAGTCCCATCACGCACTTGCATGCCTCAGAAAGGTGATGCCATCGAGAGAACACTGCACAGCTGCACAGCTACACATGTGGATCAGGAGTGGTTGCCATCCCCCAAGGTGAGGACGATGGAACATTAGGGTGAGGTGTTTAGTTTTGAACTCCAGAATCTCAACAAAAAAGGCACTGAAATTTCCGAAATGATCCAAACTGTTCACTGTCTCTCTGGATCCATCTGCCGTTTTGCACAAGATACGTGTCTTCAACACATCCAGAGGATGCCAAAACGCTGTCTGCGCAGCGCCAGCGAATGATCCTGCCAAGGAATGAACCTGAGTCATTCGTCGGAATTCTGCTACCTGCGCCACCTACAGCAAGCATATATAGACTATAATATATATATATATATGCATATAATATATTAATATCAGTTAATATCTATTGTGAATACATTAATATTCATTTATATTACAGTATTACAGTATATATAGAATTTACGAGTATGATCCCAGAATATCGCCAGAATGCAGGGGAAGGACTGGAGGACGAAATGGGACGAAGTGAATCGAAGTGAAGTGCATACTAAGTGCGTTCAAAAAAATGCAGTCAAGCGACGCCTGGAGAGGCTGAGCTTTTCTCACTCATTTCTAAATATGGTACTGGCAACGTCAAGTCATCCAAAACGTGCCAGCTTAGCTGCTGGAGGCATTTCAGACAGTTGCACTATGTCAACTTTGCATTTGCTTCTGTTTCTGGAATTCATTGGTGGCTGATAATTTTCCAACGAATCCTGCATCAAAGAAGGTTCCAATGATGGTCCTGATTCTGTCTCTGGTGAAAGCTTGCTTGATGCACTCGATGTGCTGTTGATTTGCGAACCCTGCAAAAGGTGCAAATGTGTTTTCGGGAATTCCCTTTTTGCTAGTGAGAGCTCTTCTAGCTTCTGAGTTGAAGACATCCCTCGCAATTCCGCTGATTCCAATGTCAAAAGTCAAGAGCAAGGTCTCAAGTGACGGCAAGTGACAGCATTCAAAAAGCGCAAACTTGTGGCCAGAAGTGTGTTTGTGGAAACATGTGGAAACTCTCGAAAGATGTTGCAACGCTCCAACTTTTGCTACAACTCGTTGCCACCAGTGGCAGTGCCGCCATCTTTGTCGTCTTTCTCATAATCAACTGTGGTGTCAGTGGCAGTATGCAGTCGGAGAAGGAGTTGCGCGGCAAAGGCATCGTTGCGCCGCCGTGCCACATCAACGACCTTGAAACGTGAAGAACATATGAGAAACATTGAGAAACCACGTGAAAAGTGTCCGTGATAGGAACGTGGACGCCACTGAGGAGACTGACACATTGAGATCAATGAAACGATGGAAACTTTGCATACAATTTTGCCATATTTTGCCCTTATGCATCCTTAATCATCCTTATGCAAAGTCGTCTTGTCTGACAATCAGACTCTGCTGTCAGTTTGGAGAGCTGAGCCAGTCACTGAAAAGTTCTTCCCATCACTATGAAATTCTACGGTAGCAGCTGCCCCAAATTCCAACAGTTTGGTGCTGATTAGCAAGGCTTTCTCCTGGCATTTGGCACCCTGATCAGTCCGTGACATGCAACAGCACCCCACTGTAAAACAAGCAACGGCAGGAAGGACTTAAATAACAACACGCAATAACACATAACGACAATCAACGACAGTTGACGACAATTAACGACATGTAAATGTACCACGCCATAGTGCAACAGGTGCAACAGGTGCGTCTGGAAAACTTTGGAGCTGTCTGGGCAACGTCCATGCTGTCCTCATCTTGGACGCAACACGCTGCCAACCCTAGAGGTGTGATCGAAGGTTTCCCTTCTTCTGGCCGGCTGCGGAGGTTCACCTCTCGCCCAAACATCGGCTGTGGCTGTATCAAGGCTGCATATGCTGCATGCTCAATATGCTCAATGGAATTCACGTTTTTCTCCGTTTCCAGTGTTTCCCTTGTGACAATCATCTGCATTTGATGATTTTGACTGTGAAAACATCTCCACCTCAGCCCCTTGATGAAGTAGCATCGTCAGCCGCAGCGAGTCGCTTTGAAGCGCGCGGCGGTGCAAAGCCCCCAATCCCTTGGAATCCAAAGCATCCTGCGAGATCAGAGCATGACTGGGTCAAAAGGTACCCTAGTGAATACCAGCAGTAATGGATGTGCACTTCTTTCTTGTGGAATAGGCTTTGATCGATCTCCGCGTGTTTTCTTGTTGTACAAATCATGTGTTCCAAGGCTTGAGGAGCTGCCAGTTTGCAAGGTTGTTCAAAGCCTCCTACAGAAGTGAGTCAGACAGCAGCTAGCTGTTCAGGCTGAAGTATGCTGTACTTCCCAACCAATCACAACCCAAGTGATATGCGGTCCGTGCAGAAAACCCAAATCTCTGAATGTCAGCAATCCCATAATTAATTGCCTTAAGTAGTTTCAAGATGTTTCAAGACGTCCTTGTCAGCATAAATCACTTCCGGTTTTCTAGGAAAGTTCTCCGGCAGCGCAGATGCTTGTCCCGTCACGTCCGACCAAAGCAGGTTCTGATTTTCAAAGGCCGACCTGCGAAACAACATGAAACAACACTGGACAAAGAACGGGAGATGACGGAGATGACTAACTAGTGTTCAGGTGTTTCCATGACTAGTTTCCTCCACTTGGAAAGGCGTCTCGGCGTCTCTGTCCTCACTTTCATACAGAACGTGGCTTCAGCTCAGAAGGTTGGTCAAACCTTGTAGTGTTTCCACACCAAGACTAAATTCCGCACAAAGTGGTTCTCTATTTCTATCTATTTCTCCATGTTTGACCGTCTTTGACACATCTAGCAGCAAAGGCTTTTTACATGAGACCATCTTGCTAAGCAACCATTCCGTCCCTGCCTGTATGTTTCAGTACGGACCTCTAACAAATCCTCATTGGGATTAAAGAGACCAATGCTGAGGACAACCACCTGAGAGTGCCACAAGCGGTGCCAGTGCTGCATGGAGCTGAAGTTCGTTGTGGTACAAGGCATTGCGGCTTTGCTTTTACATCTTTTACGATCTGTGATGTTCTGTGGTACGTGTGAAAGAAAAACATGTGAGAACATGTCCGTTCAGTGTTCATTCTGCTCCTTGATCTTTTTACACTTGGCTAAGGGAACCGGTCCTGGGTGTGTTTGCCCCTGAGATATTCCAGAAAACCTAGGGGCCCTCATTTTTGAATGTGAAAGATTGGGACGGTGGTTTCTTATGGTTTCTTGTTGCAATGATTTGATCACACTGATCACATGTGTTTCCATTCTGCTGTCCAAATAAATCCCGAGTGGATGTGTCCAGGATTGTCCAGGCACCATCTGAGCTGTCTTAGCATCAACATCTGTTGGTAGAGCATGTAAAATATGGAAGCGCCCCCCAGGGACATAGACCAACGAGCCGGCATTCAGCACCTCCAACGTTGCGATCGGCACAAGACATTAAAGGCATTTAAAAAAAACAGTTTGAACGTCTTGTTTAAACATTAGAAAATATTACAAACATAATCAAACTATGTTTATGCTATGCTTGAGGGGGCTTGCACATCTGCAAAGTATGGTAAGATATGATATGATACTGTACGATTTGATGCTACAGCATAGGATACAATGAATACCAGTGTATCTATTGTTGTATTTTGCATGATTGTTTACATAGTATATGTAGAGCAGTAGGCCAGTAAGCACCGGTGATACATAATGATTCGCATCTTAGGTGTTCGTTGTTGATGGCATCGGCCTTGTCTAGAGTGACTTTGCTTCCAGGGTAGCGCCCAGCGACTCGTACCCGCTTCGTGCCCTTCAGAACATAAATGAGGGCATCTACGGTGTCCTGGACGAAAGCCGAAAGCTCCATTGAGTGATCCATGCGCACTGTCAACACCTTCAATGGCATCTTCATAGTCATAATATCTCAAAATATCTCATACATAGATTCACCATGATTCACCATAGTCGTAATTTGGAAATCATTTCCCACAAGTTACGTCCATGGACATATGTGGCACTGCGCTGCCGAAGCTCCATGTGCCAACCATAGGATCCGACTTTCCGACGCCCTACTCGTGTTGCGTACATGTCCACAGATCCTGCCTTGGAGAGTCGGAGCTTACGAAATCACAAGTTGAATCCGAAATCCGAAATCAACTGAAAAAGTCAGCTGCAAAGATCTGCTAAGTAGCATTAAGTAGCTTACGAAAAAGTCTCCGAAAGTCGAAAGAGTTCGGAAGAGTTCGAAAGTCATCTGTGAAGTGTTAAGATTGTTAAGTCGGTAACGCCTGAAAGCTCAAATTTCACCAAGGCTCAACACCTAAATGGGTGAACAGCTGCGGAAGCCAGTCTCGCACGATATCCAGACCTTACTTTTTTGCAAATGTCATGTGCACCGGGTTCAGAAGCACAAAAGTGCAAGTTTCGAAGCTCAGCGAAATTGTCCGCAGCTAGCTGCCCATGTTCAGGTTTGAATGCGAAGGGACTCAAACTAACTCCAAGTCACGATTCATCTGCTCAACCGCAAATGCGCGCCCTGGTGGTACGTGCATGATCGTCCAGAAGCCTCAAGATCTCCAGGCAAGATCTGCACAAGATCTGCTTAGTCGGCTTACATCCGATTCTTCCATCCATCTGCCGACGGATTCCAACAGATTCCGACGAGTCACGTGCAGTGGCAACCTCTGGCTGCCTCTTTGCTCCGTCGGGCGCTGTTTGGTTGTAAGGCGGCCTGAGATGAGCCAAGGAATCCTATGAGCTCAACCGTCTTCATGGATAATATGAATAATATATATTATATTATATATGAACAATGATTTTACTCTTTTTTTGCTTCGCACAAGCCGCAGCTGCAGCTGAGTGCAGAATCCAACTGTTAGCTATCTGCTTTGCAGAATGAAACTGAACTTGTGAACCTTGCAGCACCATGACACCATGATATGTTTTTGTTTTTTTGTCTGAATCACGCAAACAAAAAAAAACATAACCGTCCATGATTTCATCATTTTTATCTTTGCTTATCTTTATAATAAACAATAATATACAATTGTATATCACTATCATAAATCAACATAAATCATCCAAACTTTGGGCTTGGCGTCGCTGTCTTAGCCTAGGCACGAAGCCAAGCTCCACAGGAAATCTTCTCGGTCGACATCTTTCAGCGGATGAGGATTCAACACCTACCGGTGGAAATTGAACAGTAACATCAGATAACATCACTGGCCGGCCCATTCAAAATCAAACAGAATCAAGGAATCTCAAATTCATGATGATTCAGCTTTATTCATACTCAGATTCTCTTGAACTGTCTTGAAATATTGAAACATATTGAAAACTATTGGATCTGATCATGTTGTCCGTTTCTCAAAAACTTGTCTTCAACCGGTCAGTTCCTGGCCAAAACCTGGCCTTGAAGGTGAGCTCTGCAAACGCATCTTGGCGATCCAAAGCCCACGCCTGGCGAGTTCAAGAAACCTCCTAAAACCTCCATCTTGTAATGATAGTGTAATGATAGTGTAATGATAGTGTAATGATAGTGTAATGATAGTGTAATGATAGTGTAATGATAGTGTAATGATAATGACTATGTAGTATATATGTAGTGAATTGCAGTATTGTGGCTGGGTAATTGTGAAACTGCCATGGACATCAGCATCGGCACACATGCAGTGGCCTCCCAAGGCTGATTGTCAATGACTTTCAAGTGAACGTTTTCACAGGCCCAAGCGCGATGTCGCTCCTCGCGCAAGAGCCTGCGGCAGAGGCTGAAAGCTGTTTGTATCTGTTTGTATACTGCTATTTCGGCAGCCCTGATTCAAGAGATGTTGAGAGTATGCTTTCCGGAGCGCACGCCACGGGCTGAAGGCTTGATCTACAGTGAAACTCTCATCTTTTTTAAACTCAGGCTAGCCAGCACAGATGTGGCCAAGCTCTTCTGTTCGAAGAAAAAATCCTCCAATGTGAAGCAACCCAGAACAGCCGAAATGAGTCGGAATATCAGTCAGCCGATGGCATTGGCCAATCAACGCCATTCAAACCTGGGACGCTTTTCAAGGCTTCTTGCACGAGCTCATCTGGGTAGTCAAAATCTTCCAGCTGGCCTTCGCTCCACTTTTGCCAAGCTGCCATATCGAAATGGCCATGGCCACACATATTGAACAAAATTGAACGTGGCTCGCCCTTTGAGGCTGCATCTTTCGCCTCAGCAAGTGCACCTTCGATGGCATGGGTCGCTTCTGGAGCAGGAAGGATGCCCTCAGATTGAAAGAAAGAGGCCCCTGCTTGAAATGCAGCGCTCTGTGGTACCGCTCGAGCTTCCAATTCTCCAAGTTCTTTCAAGTGCGAAATCAGAGGTGCCATCGCATGATATCTGAGACCTCCTGAATGCACTTTGGGAGGAATGAAAGCTGCTCCTAGAGTATGTGCTTTGATTAAAGGAGTCATTTGAGCAGTGTCACCGAAATCGTAAGCATAGACCCCCTTTGTCAAAGAAGGGCAAGCTGCTGGCTCAACAGCAACAAAGCGAATCTTGTTTCGCTCTCCTCTGAGTTTCTGACCTAGAAACGGAAACGTGATTCCAGCAAAGTTGGATCCGCCGCCTGTGCATCCCACGACCACATCGGGGGACTCTCCAGAAATTTCCATTTGTTCGATAGCTTCCAGTCCAATCACAGTTTGGTGCATGAGGACATGGGACAAAACTGAACCAAGTGCATACTTGGCGGTCCCACCAGATGTGACGCATGCTTCAATCGCTTCCGAAATGGCAATCCCGAGGGATCCGGGACACGCTGGATCTTCCTGTAGGACCTTTGCTCCATATTGGGTCCGATGCGATGGCGATGGATAGATCTGGGCCCCACAGGTCTCAATGAAGGCCTTCCGGTAGGGCTTCTGTTCATAGGACACTTTCACCTGGTAGACTTCAACTGGCAAATCGAATTGTGCTCCTGAGAATGCAAGGGCACTTCCCCACTGTCCAGCTCCAGTTTCAGTGGTGACCTTTTTGGTTCCCGCTTCTTTGTTGTAAAAGATCTGAGCCACGGCTGTGTTGGTCTTGTGGGACCCAGATGGAGAGCCTCCTTCGTATTTGTAGAAAATCTTCACATCCTGCGGCAGCTTCAATGCTTTCTCCCAGCGACTGGCGCGGAACAAGGGTGAAGGTCGCCACAACTCCAACACTTCTCGGACGGGCTCTGGGATATCGATATATCTCTCGGTACTTATTTCCTGTTGAATCAAAGACATGGGAAACAAAGGGGCAAAGTCATCAGGCAGACATGGACGCAGTTCTCCGGGATGCAAAGGAGGTGGCAGAGGCACCTTGAGATCTGCCTGGATGTTGTACCATGCTTTGGGCACTTTCACAGAATCACAGGCAATCGCTGCAAAAGCTCGCCGCGCAGCAGCGTTCGGACGAAGAACATGATGCATCACATGCATCACTTTCATCCTCAACGATTGTTTAAAAAAACTCTAGGCAGTAGTCTAGCACTCTGGTCTTCCAGGAATGTCATGTACAATTCATGGGTGATTGATTTTGAATAGCTTTTTCTACTCTAGGAACACTTTTGGCACATTGGACACTTCCACTTCACTAAGCCACTACACCAGATAGTTTGGAAATGGATTCTTTTTAATCTCACTTGCTTGTTTTATAAAAATCACCGAAACTGTTGGTGTCATTTGGTGTCTGAAAATGTCTTCATTTGCGGGTTCAATTGGCGACTCAGGAGTGCTCACCTCTTTCCGGGCCAAGGGACCGCACATACAACCAAGGGACGGCAAACATCCGAGGGACACTCTATGTTGTTCATATAAACGCATGTAAAATAATGTAAATGGTCATAGATATGTTCATTATCTATGTGTACAATATAAATATGATAGATATGTGTATATATATATAATTTATATATGATATATATATATACAGATTAAATGTAGTCTATTTGCATCTACTAGCTGTATGGCTGTATTCCTTTGGATTTGGTCTAGACATCTCAAATGACTGTCAACTGCAACAGACACAGCCTTCCGAACTACCTGACAGAACCTAAGCTGAAAAGAAATGCAGGCGCCAATCCGCTTCAATCTTCAGCCTTCGAAGGCGTTCTGTACTACAGGATGACGAGTGCGCAACTATGGCTATCGCTGCAAATGTGCTGAAGCGCAGCATGGCAGCGATGGCAAGCAGCAAGTTATTGAATGTCAATTGAATGTCAATTGAATGTCAGCTGTTTGAGTTCTGAGTTTGACTCAATCTCCAAGACTTGGCCAACACTCTAAGTCAAGTCTACATGCCCGAGGGAAAATGATTTTAAAAAAATGTAAAGTAAGATGCAATCTCTAGCTAATCGAAGTCGGGGAGTTGGGGAGGAGTTGTTTTTGGATGCATTTTCTTCAACGCTGAACGGAGCTGCACATCTTGTCGAATTGGCATATTTGGCCATTGCCCAGCAACGCACTGGGTCCATGTGCTTGTGATTTCGAGGCTTCGTCATGAAAATCAAAGGTTCACCATCCCATGCCACTATAAAAATCTGTGAAACTAAAACTGCTAGCTGCCACCGCACATGCTGCTCCCTCCTTTTTCCCACATCTGCTTAGACGTTTCTAAAGCTTAGACCAAACTGGGGACATTTCAACAAATCCTTTCACTGATTGGAAAGACTGCATCCTGGGTCATGCTGTACAATCCATCGCCAGGTCAGATTAATGCGAGGCTCCTTAAAGTGTGACATCTAGGAGGTACATGGAGGTACTCTCAATCATTCTCCACGCTTTCACTCCAATGCCGTTCTGCTTTGACATGGTTCTGGACATGGCTGTCATGAATTTCTTCTGAAAACATCTGGAAAAAAAACTAGTCAATGTTGTAACGTGGTGTAACGTGGTGTAACGTGTTGTAACTGTCTCTGCGTTTCAAGTGTTTTGATGTGTTTTCCATTGAGTTGAGGCGTTCACGGTTACATCCTCCTCTGGAGGGACACGGTGCCTGTAATGCTTTTGACCTCGTGAATGACTTGCTCGCCTCAATTCGCCTCTCAACTGACTTCTGTGGCTTCAAATTCTGAGATTGCCACAGAGGCCTTCCATGGTGCAAAGATCTCCATCCTGAAAGACCCTAATCTTTGTGAGGAAATTGAAGCAAAGGCAAGAACTGCATATAATCATTATATTCAATAGAAGTCAAGCTCAAGGTTCAGTCCTCTAAATACAGCAGTGTCTCTTCAAAAGGGTCATCTTTGGGCCGAAGTTGGAAAGACCTCCAGAGGGTTGGGGGATCACTTAGAACAAAAGGATTGGGATCACTCAGAACCACAGGATCACTTAGAACCAAAAAGCATCACTTAGAAACACACAAATAGGATCAGCAGAACCACCAGTCCGGATGTTGATGGTTGAGGCTGCTATAACCAGCATGGTGGAATGAGACCTTTAGGGTAACACTTGGGGACACGGGGCTGGGACATGGGGTGGGTTTAGGGGACAATTGGGGACAACTCCTTCCGGACCTTTTTATTCTGAGGCAACTCATCCATCAGACATATTCAGGCTATTTCTTGGAGAATACCTGCTGATTTAAATCATTCAAACTGCTAAGACGCGCCGAAAATAGTAGGAGAGATCTCAGAGGTCCAAGGTAGCCATTTCCTTCGAATTTCCATCAGGTTGTGTCTAGTTGGATGCCGTGAAAACCTCGGCACTAGATTTACACTAGATTTACTGTGTTTTTCTTGATAAAGTTCCAACATCCGGAGAAAAAAACATGTCTTCTCAAGTGCATCCTTGTTTTTATGTGTAATTATGTACCTATAAATATATATTATATATATTATATATATACATATTTCAGGTGAGGTAGGTGCCTCGGCTGTACACGCGAGAAAGCAACTCATTTGTTCATGCGGATGCTGATGCTTATGATGGTGCTGACGGTGGTGATGATGATGATGATGATGATGATGATGATGATGATGATTCCAGGACGGTTCTAAGCGATCCAAATTGCGCGGTTCTAAGCGACCCCACGACCCTGCAGCTGTGAGTTGCCCGACAACGCCGATGTCGGTTCGTTTGTTTCCTGTCCTTCGTTTCGTTTCGCCTGGTTGCACCTAGCGACAATGACACAATCAGTGCATCGCGACCTGAAGAGCATTGCAGAGCGCTGAGATCAAGATCCAGCCAAGGAACACCAGAGCTGCCCAGAACTACGACATCCCATCCTGATACACACTACTAGTATTATGATCTGTATATATCTGTATTATGTGGAATACACAGAATGCAAATACCATCATATACCACCACACCAATCACAACAACCACGGACATAATCCCAACTCCAATCCACCTGTTGGTGCAACCATAAGACAAAGACAGCAAACGGCGTTAATCACAGACCACACCTACCTCTGTCGGTGATAAGCCACCGAACAACGAAAATGATGAAAACGCACTGAGAATCAAAGAGGAAATTGAGGCCAATTGACAATGTTGTGAAGATGTTGTGTTCGTCTTTCAGGGTCAGGATGTGTCAATTACAGCAACCAATGACATAACCGTTATAACTAAGTTATAACCCATCAATACCTAAACCGCAATTTCTTCAAAGTAAGAACATTGGCTTGGAGATGCGAAGAGTATTGGAAAATTTATTGGAAATAACCACACCTGTCGCGTCGAAGAGCGGTTCGTCATCGCAGTGCCAGCTGACCTTCCAAACAGAAGCACACATGTCAAAGCGTAAAATGTCGTGAAACATGTCAAAAATCTGAATGTCTTCGGCTGAAGCTCTGAAGTGCATCTCTCTGATGTTTCATCCAAGAAGCATTGTCGGCACCATTCTGGTACAGATTCAGATTGCATGAGTTCGGGCGGTCCTGAGAAGCACATCGTGACATCGATATCGCCAAAATTGGCCAAACATCCACGGGTCCTCCAGTCCACAAGCGCGAGTTACCTGCAGTCGCTTGGACCGAGTCGGGTCAGATGTGTTCTCCCAAAGGTGGTTCCCAGAGCCGAAAAGGACATAGGAAAACATTGTAAAAAAAAGAGACAAAACATGGAAAAACCATAGAAAACACCATAGAAAACACATATTAATATGATTTTAATATGGACAACTGCAAGTGTCACTGGATGCATGGCCTGATCCGTGATCTCTAGGAACCACTCAGGCATTGCCACTGGTGGAAAGCGCAACCCCGCGTACTGCGCAGATGAAAATCGCATAGCATCACTGGGTCACTGGGTCACTGGGTCACTGGATCGCTGGATCCATCTTCACTCACTTCAATCGTTATCAAAAAATCATTTAAAAAAAAAAAACGTTTTGAAACGATTTGGAACACCTGGAACACCTGTGTGTCGGGCATCATCTCTGAACTCTGGAAACTCTGCAGTGATCCTCGTATTCGCAGCGGCAGCCCTGTAGGGTCAGCCAAGCCGCTGAACGGGGCAGCAAAACGTCCAACGGCTCCTGGCTTTTGCCTGGCACCGCAAAAATTCAGGTGCAATCACAGAGTCCCTGTGAAATGATCAACATGAATCAGCATGAATCAACATAATCAATGTTTTACCATTTTTGTCATTATCAAATATAATTATATCAAGATATATCAAGATATATCAAGATATATCAAGATATATCAAGATATATCAAGCATTGATTCTGGTCATGGTGACTGTAACATCTCTGGGCCGCTGGACCGCTGGGCCTTCTTTGGGAGGCCGTTCGGGCTTGTGCCACCGCACTTCTCTCATTCTCTCATCAAGGTCTTCCTGCGCCACGGTGTGAATCTCGACATCAGTCCTTGTTAACTACTTGCGCTTCTAGCTTGAAAAAAATGAAAAACTCAAGTTTCCAATTTCCAATGTTCAAGTTTGACACTCAAGTTCCTAGGTTCACAATGTTCTAATGTTTGCAACTCAAATGGTTTCCTCCACTGCGCTAGCGTGTCCGCTGTGAATGCCTCCGCCAAGTGACTTGCTAGATTTGACAGTGACTTTTTGTGCGAGCAACTCTCAATTATTAGAACACCCCTCTGAATCTGTCTGAAACGCCGACCTGTTTGCGGATGGACACGAAACTCCTACGATGCACATCTTGTAAGACCTCGGGAAAGTTGACCCAGCC